GTCATGGGCACGTGGCTGGTTAATCCGCGGATTGATATCGATCCACCCACAAATAACTCGATTCGCACGTAGTGGGTGATTGATGTGGGTGGATTGCGGATTGGTAAATCTCCCACCCCCACTTATGTGAGTGGATTGCGGGTCACCCATATGACCCGCATCCTATTTTTACATGAAAAAATGTTGTTTCTTATAATATCAAATATTCATCATATTTTCGAACTGCACTACAGTCTGACCATATACTTCAAAAGGTGAAGAATAAATAATAGTTTTGACTATTATTATTGGTCATTTTGCTGTGCAATATCCATTAGATATTGGATATTGGTATGCAGATTATTGTTAATAACCATTAAATATTGGGATGCAAACTATAAATTATTAATTGTATCAAAATCACAAATTAATGATACAGTCTTACTAATTTTGCTTTGAACTTATCATAAATGTTAGTCAACTTTCTTAATGGCTGTTTGAAGAATTGCTTTTGCGGGTTGACCCGCAATCCAACCGCACTCATCCGCCACCCACCCAACCAACCTGCAGAAGTATGTTGGTAGATTGCGGGTCAAAATTATTTCAACTCGCTAGTAAGTGGGTGGGTCAATTTGAGACCAAAACCCACCCAATCCGCCCATTGCCCACCCCTAACAGTACTGTATAGGTTTTGTCTAGCAATGTTTGTAAAAATGTAATATATACAGTTGTCAACAAATATTTTTTTTTTTTGACAAAAGATATATATTGTCAACAAATATTTAGAGTAAAGAGCAATTAGAATTATACAAATCAATAATACTCGTTTTAGAAGAGGAGGATCTAGCAATCATAGGTCCGACTCCTTCCATTGTTTAGAAATTTAGGATTTCATGTTATGTTCCACTTAATCAACGAAGTTCTTTTCACTCTATCGAGTATCCTCATCATACTACTTTGCTATTGATCACTATTTACTATTTTGTTTTTTTCCCCACCGATATTCACTTAGCATGTACCTACATATATTATAGCCTCATACCAAATACGAAAATAGAGAGCAATGCACCCTAAACTCCACCTCTAGCCATATGGCTACCTTATTTTTTTAGGCTTTGCTTTCTATGACTCATCAGAAAACCTGAACAGTACTGTGTGGGTGGTGGGGGTGGGTTTCAATTTTCATGGGGCAGTGTTGGGATTTTTGTTTCAAAGCTGAATTAGGCATTGGACATGAAGTTATGTACTTGTGTTTCATTTCACGCAAAATCACTTTGTGGGCAATCCCTCTCTTTCCCTCTGTTCCTTTTCCTTTCCCTTTTGAAGATCAACTAAGCAATAACTATTTCTCTCCCTTTCAACATTATTTCGATTTCTGTTTGGCTGACTAGTCTCCTTCACATTCCATTTCCGAGTTTCGCCCTCCCATTTGATAGTTCACCATTTAGCCATTTAGGCTTCCTTATCTCATCAAGTGATTGATCAGATTTGTAGAGATCAATGTATTTCATGTGAGGGGTTTCCTACAGTAATACACAATTTGCTTATAAGTTAAGAAGATGGCTCTTTCTATTCGGATGAAACTCATGAATATCGTATTAGAGTTGCACCCGTTTAACTATTTATATTGTATGCACAAAATTGTGAGTCTACCGTGAGTTTTGATATATACGTCTCAACAAATTTTCCAAATCATACACTAGTTCGATTAATTAAAAGGTTGCGAACTACGGTCTTTGAAATTAGATTCTTTTGATTTAAAATTCGATGACATAATCACTCGATTCAAATCTGAAAGGTGTATCATACCTCAAATTGAAGGTAAGTACAAAAACTAGGATTAAAATATTACCCATTTTCTAAAACCCACATTCCAAAGCCAGAGAGAAACCACCCTAAGTAAATACAAAGCCATTAATTGTAATTTAAGTAAAATTGCAAGTACCCAGAACATCAATTAATTAAACTAGGCAGCCCCAATTCCCAACACCACCATTGGACTGTAAAAGTCGATATCTTTTTATCAAAAACAACATTCATCACCTAGCCGTGGGCCTCCATTCCAAACAACAGTAATTTCCTCAAATTTTCAACTTTTTACCCCATCCATAGTAAATGGACCTCCATCCCTCACTCACCCTTTTCTTTCTACCCATCCCGGCCCCTACCATAAAACTTGCTTACTTGCATGTCATATTGTCACTACCATGGCGAAAGAGAGACATTTTATATAAAGCTGACACATTTCTTTCCTCCCGCAGCAGCTACCTAGCCGGTGATCAGAGGAATTAGCTACCCAACCAAAGAAAAATGGAATTACAAAGCTGGTCGGCATCGCCGCCGGCCACTACTAATGCGAGGAGGAGGCGAAAGAATGGATGCAACGGCGGCGACAATGATGATAATCATAGAGGGGAGACGCGGAACGACGACGTTTCGGAATGCTGCTGCAGCCCGTCGTGCACGGCGGGGGCGATAGCCGACTGCGTGGCGCTCTGCTGCTGCCCCCTCGCCGTCGTCAACTTCCTCGCCCTCGCATTCGTCAGAATCCCGTGGACGGTGGGGCGGCGGTGCATTGGGACCATGCGGCGGAACAAGAAGAAGAAAAAGAGGAAAGGGGCTCTGATGATGGAGATGGTGACGTCCGGCGGCGGCGGCGGCGCGGGGAATAGTGGTAGTGGAAATGGGGATGATGGGGATGTGATATACGTGGTGGAGAGGTCGGACGGCAGCCGGAGCTTGAGGATGGTCGGAGATGATGACGAGGAAGATGTCGCCGGCGGCGGCGGAGTGCGGCGGAGGAGCGCCAAGTATGAGGCGGAGAAGGTATGGTTGGAGCTCTACCAGGTTGGTCATTTGGGCTTTGGTAGGGTCTCTTTCACTGGAATCTCCACCACCCTCTCTTGATTACTTCACTTACTATATGGATTAACGCTAATTACCCCCTTTGTAAATCTTCGTTTTTTGGGCTCATTTCTGAAAGCGAGATGGGCTCTTGATGACGTTGGTAATTGTGGTTGATAGAAGAAAATGTGGTAAGTAATAGGGAAATCGCCTAATTAATGAATGAATGATGGTTCATATTAGCAATTTTTACTTTACAATTGAGGAATTGATTAATGCATGCAAGTAGTTCTCTTAACTTTCATGTTGATCACTAAATTGTAATACTAAGCAAATTCAACTACACTGATGAAAGGATGGACATATGCATGAGTTGATGTGCCATATCAATATCTATTCCACTTTAAACGGCCAAATTCGCACATAAGCGTTATTGTGAGCATCATAGAAAATCCACATAACTAGCTAATGATCACAAAAGCTTAATATTAAGCAATTCGACTATATGTTTTTTTTTTGACAAGGAATTTGACTATATGTTGATAGGGTCATATATGCATAAGTTGATTGATTCCGTCTCATCGTCTATCCTCGTATTTTAAACCGTTAGATCTACACGTAACTGTTATTGAAAGAATCAGTTCAGACCTGCATAACAAACTGATGATCACAAACGACTAGTCAATATGTCAATCATATTGATATAAATAGACATATGTATGCATGGATTAATACTAATGTCGCATCGCCTATTCTAGCGCTACTTTCAGCTGTTATATCTACACATAAGGATTGATCACTGAGTATCCTATCAAGCCATATCAACCTGATGTACTGACTACCGAGTCTAAGATCCTATAATCTTTAATTCGTAACCTTACAAGTCGTGATCTAATTTTCTTTGTGTTCAAGAAATCACAAGCCTTCAATTGCACTGTGATTGATTGTCCTCCACTTTGGGCCATGAGAGCCTATATATATAGGGCATCCCATTTGGGCCCACGTAATATTGATGTGTCGTTTTAGCTGAGAATGGCAAGATTTGCACGCACAGAGGCCAGGCACCTTGTCGCCCATATGAACTTTCACCAAAATGTTAACCACAGGCCATAATATTGACGGTGATGGTATATGCATATGAACAACACCAAGAGAACAGGAAAATGGCAATAGAGAGGAAAGTGAGAGCGGGCATGCGTGTGGCTGTGCTGCTACAGACAGCGCAGTAAAGGAAATGTAATGTGGCCAAGGAAATTTCCCAAGAGAAAGAGCCCCTCTCCTTTGTTACATGAAAATGGGGACAATGGTTTTGTTTGGATAGTGACGAGAATAAGGAAATTTCAGAAAGAACCCAATGGGAACGAGGCAATGTGGTGTCCAGCAGGGTTAGCACTATTGGGCAATTTGAGGTTGAGTTTTGTGAGTGTTTGTAAAAGCAGATCTTGATATCCACAGTTGGATCATGGATGGTTCTGTATAGTTCCGGACGCAAATGGATTGGATTCATAGATTGGTGAATTGGATTTGTGAATTCATGAATTAAATAAATTGGTGAATTGATCCATGATATTTTTTTATAAATGATAAACTTTAGGTACCAAAATGTTAAATATAAAAAGTATAAGTACTAAATCATAGTTTGCCATTTGGATCCATGGATCCACCTAGGGGTGGAAGTTTGGTTTGCAGGTTGCAGCCTGCAGGTAACCCGCAACCCGCACCACACCGCACACTTTGTGGATACCCATACCCACAATCTGTGGATAGTGGTTGGGTGTATGTAGCAAAATATTGATTTTTGTGGTTAGTGGTTAACCACTACCCACAGTGGTTTACCCACAAAACCCACACTAACCACATTAGTTATAGTTTGTGAAACTTGGAAAGACTAAGAATTAAAGTAGTTACCAAAATCAAATACACACTTACTCTATACAACAAAACCAAGTCAATACGCAATGTTCATGTGAGATACATTTATCCAATAAGCATTGTTCGTGTGATATATGTTTATTTTATAACAAAACCAAGTCCATAGATATAGTCAGATAAATTAATCGATTCATTAAAAGAGGGGAATAATCGATAAAAGTTAGTCTGATACCCAAACTCATCTCCATTTCTCCACGATACAATATTATAATCGATTCATTATAGCGGACGCCTCCACTTATCGAGTCACTTTTATGTACAAATGGTTAGGTAATGTTTTGTTTTGGATATGAGACCCTATGAATTTTAGATAAAACTTAGTTTCTAATCATTCATTTAAGATGAATCTACTTGAAAAATCTGATCAAAAGACAACTATTATGTGCTGTTATTTGGCTATTTTCTTACTAAGATGCTGAATCTAATGAAAATTAGGCCTTATTCTTATCTTTCATGTACAATTGAACTTTGACGACTGTAATAAAATCACTAACCAATTGCAGGCCTAATTTCGATTCCTTCAATGACGACGCAACCCCGAGTTTCTCCTCCAGCCTTCACTTGGATGGCAACCGGCTCCAATCCCCCGCTCTTACCAGCCTCGTTGAAATACTCCCCCAACTCGATCTCCAACCATTTATCTCTCCTCTTCTTCGGGCGTTTCAATCCCAGCACTGCATTACTGTTTCGATGATGATGCCAGAAGGGTTCCACATCAATATTCAGACATATTGTGGCTGGAGCCAAGATGTCGGCTCCAGCAACGCCAACAGAGGTCTCCACCAAAAGGCAGTCAAACGCATTTCTCTGGAGCTTGTACACAAGATATGCAGCATAGTTTGTTCCAGGAGACAGCATGGAAACAGTAATTTCACCACGAATGTCGAGGGCAGGCACGGACTTGAGCTCAGCAACCTCAGGAAATCTGTGAGATCGTCGTGGAAGCAGCACATGAATAAGTATACAAAGCGATGGTTAATGAAATGGTGATGGGGAAAAACACAATGGAAGGGAAAGAGGGTTGTGAGAAAGCAAAGAGAACAGCAAAAAACCTGGAATCTTTGTCTTTGATCCAAGCCCAATGGTGAGGACTGTCACTTGATTCAATGGAGAGACCTCTAGCACCAAGCATGTAACATTTCTTGCCACTCTCTTTGTCCAACCAAAGGCTCTACACATTCAATTCAGAGAAACGAAAGTAAGATCTCTGAGATCAAAATTTAAGGCCAAAACAAAAACCAATTTATCCCAATAACTCCGCGATTTGTTAAGAGAAACCACGAAGAGATATTATATCATTCTCTTACATGTCCATCGACAACATAATAGTACAATACTATTCCCATACTTTTCACTTGTCATGGTCAGATGAATGGATCAGTTTGCTTCACAACTCATGTTCAAAATTTCAAAGTTCTCAAGCACAATCTACACCTAAATCTCCCGTAAATGCGAATGCCCTGAAATAGGCAATCGGAACTTGCCGAATTTCATAGAACCTAATCAGAAGTATAGCGATCGAAAGTTCATAAACTAACAGTTGGAAGCAATCAACGCGGGTGAATCCGAAATCAAACTAACCCTAATTTTTACCTTCTTGCAGTCGTCGAAGAAAATCGGGCGACTGCAAAGCGCGCGGAACAGTTCTTTCTTCGAAGAGAATGACGGAAGTTCGGCGGAATTGGGAATGATCGAGTCGTAATCAGAGGGCAGAAACCTATCCCACAAGGCATCGGAGTTGGCCGAAGATCTGAATACCGACGATACCCTGGACAATCGCAAAGCGTCGACCGGGGTAGCGAACGACAGGATATTGACGATGCATCCCTCTGGTAGGTCGTCGAAGCTCGTATTTCCTATTCCGCCGGCGAATTCAATACCTCCACCTCCGCTATTTCCATCTTCCATAGCTCCGGTTGCGGTACGGTTATGCTTTTCTTTTTCTTCGTTTGTTCGAGATAAACTTTTCGCTGCTTGCTTTGTTATTGATCAGCCGCCGGCGGGGAAAACGATTTGACGCTTGTAATTTATATGCGTTGAATAATTGAACTCTCGTTTGGGCCCAAAACTATTAGTTTTAATCGGACAATTATGCTTTACTAAGCCCACAAGTCCAATAGTCGTCCGGCCCATTTTGCCTAATCTCAAGTCAGGTCCTGATTGAACTGCAGACTCTACCAAACGGTATCGTTTCTACCGCTCCTCATGAGTCATGACCCGAACGGGGCAAGCTCACGGAGACGACGAAAATATCGCCGCCCACCGCTCACCCTCCGCAGAAAATCTTCCACGGCGATACAACGACGAAAGCGCTGGTTAGCGAGCCGACAGCTCTGGAAGATAAACCTGTCACGAGCTTTTGCGACACGTGTACAGTGGACACCTGTCCCCTTCCGCAAGCAAAAGAAAAAGTTTCCTACGCAGTCATATTTATTGGGGGAAACGAAATGACAATAATAGAGACAGAAAACACCCGCGCTCCCTTCTAGGCTGAAAGTAAGAAAGAGAGTGCGTGAGTTCTGCTGCAAGAAGCGAGTTGGGGGCGAGCTGAGGCCTGAGTGTGGGGAAAGTGAAGAAAAGGAAAGGAAGAATTGAGGTTTGAGGAGCAAAAATGGAGGGCGAGCCGACTCGGATAATGATCGCGGTGAACGAGTCATCAATCAAGAAGTATCCGCACCCGTCCATCAGCTGCAGGGGAGCTTTCGAGTGGACTCTGGAGAAGATCGTCCGCTCCAACACTTCTGGATTCAAGCTCCTCTTCCTCCACGTCCAAATCCCCGACGAGGATGGTTCGCTGCTCTCTCTCTCTCTCTCTCTCTTGCTCTCTGAGCTCTTTTAGCACTGTTGATGTGATAGAGACATAGATTTCTTAGCTTGCTTTTCTCTTTCGCTGGTCTCTTGCTCATTTCTTTGCTTGGCTGAGCTTGATTGATCGCGTTCTTGAAGTGTGATCTTAGGGTTTCGAGAAGTGGCGTTGATCTTAGGGCTCTCTGTAACGGTAGCGTCCCTGTCATAGTTAACTAGCTGCTTGAATTGGTTCAGAGAGAGGTTAAGGTCTGGGTGTTTATCAAGAATTGACTTCAAGAGAGCTTTGATTTCTTTAGAATGGAAAGCACCAGAAAGAGATTATAGTTAACATTAGCTTGAACAACTCGCCGTTATCAATTGGTTCTTGATCCTCCCGTCCCTTCCATTTACCCATCAGTTTGATTGTTTGGGAGTTCTATCCGGTGTCATTTGCTGGTATTCAGAAATTGAATTGGTGAAGAAGAAGAAGAAGAAGAAGAAGAAGAAGAAGAAGAAGAAGAAGAAGAAGAAGAAGAAGAAGAAGAAGAAGAAGAAGAAGAAGATGGGGGAAATGATTGACTAGTGGAAGGATGTTAGGTTTTGTTTGCGTTAGTAGGGTAAATTATACTACCATTAATGTTGAACTGTATCTGTTTGCTAAGATGTGGTGTTGACTGTTGAGAGACTGGGATGGATCATGGATGGATGCTTGATTGAAGCTTCTCAAAACATTTTCCATGGCTAGGTTTTGATGACGTGGATAGCATATTCGCATCTCCTGATGATTTCAAGCAAATGGCTCGTAGGGACAAGGCTAGGGGTCTTCATCTGCTAGAGTATTTCGTGGATAGGTGCCATGAGCTTGGGGTAAATATGCTTCACTCAAGATTCCACAAGTGGTCCCTTGAGAAATTTGTCCCTGATTTTGATTTTGAATGTCTGGTAGGTTGCCTGTGAGGCCTGGATTAAGAAGGGTGATCCGAAGGAGGTGATCTGTCGCGAAGTGGACCGTGTTCACCCGGATTTCCTGGTCGTTGGAAGCCGGGGTCTCGGCCCTTTCCAGAGGTATGGTGATCTGTTGTTTCATAAACACTTGCAATCTATTGAACTACTGGCCCATTTTGTAGACATTGAACGGTAACTTAGGACTTGTGCACTTCATGGCATTGACTGGGAGAATTCTTTCTTGCTTTGATGGTAATGCTTTGGCAGGGTGTTCGTTGGGACAGTGAGTGAGTTTGCCCAGAAACATGCCGAGTGCCCCGTGATCTGTATCAAACGCAGAGCTGATGAGACCCCTCGGGATCCAGTTGACGACTGATGTCCGCATGCAATTGTTCTTTCTCCGTGTATGATCGATTCTGATACTGTAAGATTGCGGTTTTCAGCGTGTGAATGAAAGATTGAGAGCATATGAAGTGGATGGACTGAGTGTTAGTTCTTGGTAGTATGGAAGATGAAAGACCGGTAATTCTTTTGTTCTTTTGGTGGAACAGTAATCCTGGAATTCGGCTCGGAATTTTCTCTGCTTCCTGTCTTGTATAATACCATTGCCTCACTATAGCGATAAAATACTACACTTCGAGAGTACAATAGCGGGAACTATATTTACTGCTTGTGAGGGAGCAAAAATGATGCCATGATTTTGCGTTGTGTTGCCATCCAATAAAAAGTTGGGACAAACACACAAGCTTATCCAAAAAACAATATCTAGCGGAAGATCAGTAATTGAACTAGACTAGACGTTCCTCCGTTGATGATCAGAAGAACTTAAAATGAATCCCCTAGTGCCAAAAATTTTACAAATAAATTTTACCATAGATTAAGCTCTTAGTTAATTTCCCTTTGTATTAGCTTTGTTAAGATCCTACTGCCGGACATCAAGTCTGTACCCTGATTCTTGCCGGCTGCCTTTACCTAGAGAGACATACAAAATCAGACCAACCAATCCCAATTCTGTTTCCCATTTTCCACCATTGGCCCAACCGAATCCTCATTCAGCTGCTAATCCATACCAAATGCCTCATGCAGAAAGAGAATCAACCAAACCACCAATGGAAAACAGAGCTTCCAACCAAAACAACTGAGAAAAGGGGGGGAATTAACAAGTCTTTTCAATGGCTTGATCTCCTAGAATTGAACCTGTGACCATCTCAAAATGCAACTTCGTTAATATGCATTAAACGTACCAGATACCACAGAGCCACACATAGATATGGCAAAATAAACATATGATTTCTTTTACCCCTCTCTAGGCTGCCAATATATTCAAGTAAAAGGTGGTAAGAAACTATCTAACCCCCTTCCCCCCAACCCTTACTTGCTGTGCACATAACATCAAGATCATTAACTGTAGTCTGTAGACAAATTAATACCAAATTTAAGAGATCTGAGCCTATAACAACAACTCACAAAAGGAAACAACACAGACAAAGCAACAACCACTCTTCTAACTACAACCTCCCGGAGGCTTGACCATTGTGTTTAACTTCTCAATCACTCCTCTAATTTCACCTTCCACCCTGGATTTCAAGTTGGCAGACATCTCCGATGAACTACTCTTCAGCATCGAGTCCACCACCTCAAGCTTCTCTATTACATTACGGAGCTCTGAAGGGACTGGAAATTTGGGCATTGAAGGGGCATAACGAAGCCGAAAGTTCACGTGGCTTGTGCCAAAGGGGCTCGAACGGTGGCTGTGGGTCAGTGCTTCCTCGGCTTCGGATTTACTGGAGAATGCAATCCTAGCACAGCGATTGTTGTAGAGCATGTCGGTTTCATCTTTGTTCAATGCACCAAATGGGCCGTATATTCTTAGAAGATCATCCTTGGAAGGTAGATATGATCCCGGGCCAAAAGTGACATGAAGGGTAGCAGCTACAGGCTTATCCGTCTTCTGGAATTCCTTGTTCTGATGCGATTTAAGATCATTAGGTGAACTTGGGTCCGATTCAGATCCTTCTTGAAGTTTCTTCTTCCTTCTTCCTCGTTTAGGCTTGATGTTCTGCTCGTTGTTTGATCCCTCCTCATTATTGCCTGGGCTTCTAAGCTCGGAAACAAAACCCAAGACCTGATCAAGATGTTTGCTTTCCTTGACATGGAGTGGGTTGAGAGCTACTGAGCGGATATGACATAGCATTTCACTCGCAGCTGTCCGAGCTTCGATTGTGCTGGTCTGATCTTTAGTTGTCTCTGGAATCAGATCATCAGGTTTCCCATCCACAACAGCTTGCTCTTTAGAGGGTTCTTCCAGAGAATTAACATCATTACTATGATGACCAGCAGCTTCAGTCCTATCCTCGGCTAATTGAGATTCACCCGACGCCTTCATTTTCGGCCTCTGCCCAAGAGTAATATTAGTGTAGGGAGGGGAAAGGTACCGGCTTTTCTTCCTTTCCCTAGACAAAGCAACATTCTCACTTGTTTGGTTGCCCTTGTTGCCATCATTTTCAATAGTTGAGCCACCAGCCATTTTCTTTTCTGTCGCTTCTTCGGTTTTTCCTAGGCTGTCATCATTTACGACACTGTTATCTTCCTGTTTCTTCCTTCTCCTTGACACTGGGGTTTTTACATTGATGGCCAATGTGTCATGATTGGCTGCAGTTACTGGAGATTTAGGAACTTCTCTGCCTTTCCTCTTCCTTACCCCAGGAACGGACTCACTGGGTGCTTCCACATTAGCTTCCTTGCTACGTTTACTCCTTCTCGATCCATAGGGGACTTCTGTGTTTTCGCTCTTTTGCTGTCCAGAGGAAGCAACTTCATTGATAGCTTTACTCTTATGTAAACTAGAGGCAGAAATATCACCCGAGCTAGCTTCAGTTTTGGCCACCTCAGTAACCTTAGGACTGCTTCGCACTTTCCTCTTTTTACTTCCAGATGGTTCTGGGTTTTCAATTACCTCATCTCCTGCAACTCCACTTTTGCTCACCCTCTTCTTCCTTCCAGATACAGTTTTGCTTCCACTTGCTTCTGCTTCAGTCTCAGCATCAGGACTACCACTAATAATTTCGGCAATGCTTTTCTGCTTCCTTCTCCGAGGTGCCAAGCGTTCTGGAAACACCTGTGGTGTCTGCAATGAGTTCTGAGAGTCTTGGCCAAGGGAAGAAGAAACCCAGTCTTCTTCAACTGGCCCAGGAAATATACCTTCCGCTAAAGTATTCTTCTGATTACTCGGATCACCCAGCATCCACTTAGGAGAGTCATCTTCGAGCCCTGGAATTTCCGTCGGCTCAGAAAAAGCCTGCAATTTGCGCCCGCATTTTCCTCTGTAGAAAGCTGACAAGGAGCTCTTCACTATAGCAAGCTCCAACGCATTACCAAATCTGACACCTTTTGCCATATGTTTGATCGAATGGAATACATTTTCTGGTTTAAACAGAGTATTATCAGAGAAGTCTCCACCTTCTGGCACAAGAAGTCCATCTCTAACTCCAGCATTTGCTGCCAAGGACCTCCCAAAACCAAACAGATTGTCTCTTGGCACACAAGAGCAAGTCAAACTCAAGTCAATCGACCTACCGACCTCTTCCAGAGCCTTCTCCACAGCATTGACAAAGTTCTTGGACGTGCTTTGATTCGCCATCTCCACAAAATTCTCGTGGAAAGGCTTCAATTGAGATGGATTGCACCAAGCGAAAGTGCCATCCCCAAAATAAGCAACAAGAATCCTGCCTTCTCCATGTTTGACTTTCTTTGCTTGCTCGGATGCATCCAAGGGATCATAAATCCGCCCTGGCCACCATGGATGGCTCTTGATCTTTCCCCATACAAAATCGCCAACATCGTAATCAAGCTCTTCCGTTTCATCCTCCTCCTCCAAGTTTCCCCCAACCTCAGTTTCTGCCTTGGCCTCATATTTTCCTTCAGCTTCCCCGCCACCCAGGAGGCTCACTTCTCCTTGCTTCTTACTATCATCACCGCCATTGCCGAACTCTTTTCTCTCATTCTTATCAATCACCTCCAACACGGAGTCCAATCCAGGGTACCTCCCACTCTGCTGCATTTCAAGCAGAGAAGAAATCCCATTCATCTCAGAGTCTTCAAGACTATCTCTATTTCCATCGAATAGAGAACCAATTTTCCCACTCGAGTTGTTGTTCACAGCAGAAACTCCACCACCATCCAATCCTTCACTAATAAAACCACCTTTCTCACAAGCCCTAATTCCATTCTCCATCCGACTGATGGTCGACCCTTTCCCGTGTGGGCCTTGCGATTCTTCACCGGCAAGGGAGGAAGGACTTTCCGCTACAGTCTTTCGAGTAACCTTCATTTTTCCCCCACGAAAAATCCTCTAGAAGAAAGCCAGCTTACGACCAAACCAAATTCCACCCACCACTGCAAAAATAGAGAAGAGACTAGAATCAACACTGACTCAGAAGTTTAGTCTTTAGCTCCCCTCCCAAAATAAAACTAAAAAACAAATATATTAAACCCTAGCAACAAAAAATAATACAAAATCCACAACAAAATAGAAAAGGAAACCCCAAAATTTGTCTGGAAGGGAGCCAGCCAGTAGAGACAGCCGGCAATGGATATCAATCCAGCAGATAATTATAACCAAATTGACTATTCAAGAACTCTCATATAATCAAACGAACCATAGAGCTCTTACCTTTCCAATCAAGATGCAGAAGCCCAGAACGAATTTGCTGAAGAACCAGCAGAAGAAGACGACAGAATTAGGGTTTTGAAGCTCTGAGTTTTGCTGCCCCTTTCAGACGAGCAGTATTGTGTAGTAAAATGGGGGAAAAGAGCGTATTGAATTGAAACCGAAGTGTCGAGCTCTCTCTCTCTATAAAAAAAAAGGATGTTCAATTTCTCACGGTGACCAGAAAATGACTCGCCAAAATACCGCTGGGCGAGAAGAGGAATCTCACGCGCGGTATCGGTTTCCCGCGGCGGTGAAACTTTTACCGCTTGGGTCTGATTTTCATTTTGTTGTCTGTACCGGTGGGCGGTGGCGCGTTTCTGTATCGTACAAATTGATCAGTCGTATAAGATTTTCTTCAGGTTGGTCCCTTTACGAGCCCGGGTAGTAGAGTGTGTGTGGCACACTCGCCCTGATCCGCTGCCACGTCCCACTTGTAAGTTGTTGTATAGATAAAGTACGGGAAAGTTATGTATAAGATACGTACGGGTATTATACATCGTCTCTTAGCTAATTATTTGTAAAAAAAAAAGTCTCTTAGCTAATATTACGTTTAATAGTACGTTAATAGTCATAAATATATAAAATTAATTATTTTTATAAATAAATAAATAAATATGTAAAAAATAGTATAGTTAATAATCTATTTCATTAATTACGAATATTAAACGTGTTATACAGATTTTATACGTGTTTAGTACGGAAGCCGTCAAATGAACGGAAACAAATGAAACCGCTTGACAATAATACGGATACGGAAGTTTTAAACGGATAAAGTACGTATATGTCATATACGTGTATTAAACGGAGTATTTACTAACTATGATCACAGGTTCCCCGATGGATGGTTTGCGATGGCGAGTAGCTGAGCGTAGCCAATAATAGCGCGTGCTCGATTGGATAACCCGTACGTAACCGCCCAGTTAAGAAAGGGTAATCTATTCTCCCGGGGCCTGGCTAACAGGTGGGCCCTGGGCCGAATCCGGGCCACATAATGGGCCATGGGACCACCAGGTCCACCACCACGGCGCCGCTTTCAGCTGTCCGCTCTTTAATAAAGGAAGGAGCCATTGATGGTTCGACGGCAGCACAAGGATAAATCGGCGGGGCTCAGCCGGCGCACCGAGACGAAAGTGAAACATGTGATCCAGCAATTATTAACATATTAGAGTGTAGCTTAGTTTATCGCATGAGGCTCATCAGGTTATAACG